CCTCAGATGTTCAGAATCTTGCCAAGCATTTGATGTAAATATGCACATGCACCCAGGTGTTTCTTGGTTATTGTGTAATGTAATTGTGTATGTGCACCCAGGTGTCCTGGGTTATGACTTAAGTATAAAGGATGAGTGGCTCTGATCCACAGCACCCCCTACCCCTGGGATGCCCCCAGGAGGGCCATGGGGAGGCCACTACTGCTGCTGGAGGCTGTTGGCTGCCAGGGCCCCAGGGACCCTCCAAGAGGTGACTGCCACCACCAGACCTGTAAGCTGCTGGACCTGTAAGCTGCTGCTGCCGTTGCTGAGGACTGAATTCGTGTCATCTACCAACAGCTCCCAGGATCTTTCCCAATTACCTAGCATGGATCTCCATGGGAGGGGTCTGGGGACTCAGCCTGGCATGTGAGGGGTCTGGGGACTCAGCCTGGCATGTGAGGGGTCTGGTGACCCAGTCTGTACAATGAGTTTGAAGGATCAGAGCCCTAGCTCTGACAATATAAATGAAAATTAGTATAACTAAAATAATGAAACATTTTGGCTTTAGTTATGATTTGCCTTAGTTGACAACTGGCGTAGTTGTGTAGCTTTACAGAAGTGTATATTGTATACTTTTCCTGAAAAAAGAAAAGGTATTGTTTTGTTTTTAAGCTTGAATCTCTTACTGTTACTTAGATACTATTTATGTCTCTTTCCACAGTACTTTTAGCTATAACAAACTCTTAACTCTTAATGTGCTATTTTCTCTAACCATGTTAAAATAAAGTTAGAATAGATGTAGAGGACAGGAAAGGGACTCAGCTCTATTCCAGGACCTACCATTCTAGTACGTAAAGAAAATCATTTCATCTCCTCTGGGCCTCAGAATCCTCGCCCTTAAAACAAGAGTCTAGACTAGATGATTTGTAGAGCTTACTCTAGGTCTAATACTCTTTAATTTTGGTACCTCATTGGCCTTATGTATTTATACTTCAAAAATAAGGAATTGAAAAAATTTATGTAAATTTTTTTTTTACTTTCTTAATGTTTGAACCTTTTCTGGCATTATTTGGCAATTAACATTCCATAAATCCCAAAAGAATTGACATAATAATTTGAAAAGGGACATCTATGTTACAATTTGAGAGTAGCTAAAAAATGCCTAACATATGAGCAATTTACATAAAAAGCAGGGGGGAATCTGAAGCTTGTGGACCTTAGTTTTCAGTTGACGAGCTCTCCCTTTATAAATTTATAATTTATTTCAGAATTAAAAGCATTAAAATAAAATGTATTTGAATACATTTAATGATACTTATCAGAAAATTATAAAAATAGTTAACTAAAAATTTTTCATATTAATGAAATCCAACATAATAAAGTTCTCTAAGAGGCAAAGAAACTGGATGACTATGTAAGCCTCTAGAACTTGCACATGACCTTACTCAGTTCAAGCCTGATTAATTTTTCTAGTGTTCAACAACTCCAAGTACAGAAAACAAAAACTTACCTTCAAGAGTAGCTTTTCATGTTGCTGGTTATCAGAATCATATGGCCTTTTCCTCACACTTTCTACATCCAAATAGAGCTGTTTATAACCAGTTATCTGCAGTAAGCATGCCTTCATGCAGATTTTAAAACTGAAAATGATGAGATTATTATTTTTTAAAATCTTATCACAATAAAGTAATGTCTTCCATAGCTTGGGGTTCATATGCCTATTTAAAAGCACTTCCTGGCTTTCAGCTTAATATAATAAGCACCAAGAGCCTCCTTACACACAAAATATTAAACAAAATATTATGAAGGATATGATAAAACAGGACCTAGAAAGAGGGCAAGACATGGTAGAACAGCCAACTTCACAATTGCAAGGATTTGTCCTCTTCTTTTCATGTTTTCTCTGGGCAA